GGCGAACCACGATGACCAGACAGACAGCAAGGGGGACGAGGCCAAGGAGAAGGAGAAGGAGGACTCGGACTCGGAGACCGAGGAGCAGCTCAGCGAGGTGAGAGGAAGCTGAGGGGGTGCACAGCCGGGGGGTGGGGGGTGAGAAGCAGGGACCCAGCCACCAGGACCTCCATGCCCTGCTTGCAGCTTAGTCAGGTTCAGAGAGGGCAAGTGACCTGCTCGAGGCCACACAGCAGCGGAGCCACGAGCCACGGGTCCATGTTCTTTCCCCTCTAGGCCTGCGGTGGGGGGAGGGGAAGGGCCAGGGATGCTGCGGGAGGCCCTGACCTTGCTCTGGTCCCCAGGCAGGAGACCTGGCACGCCCCCAGGGCCTCCTGGGCAGCGCGGTGCACACCCTGCAGAAGGCTGTCCAGGGCACCATCTCGGTCATGCTGTGGGCGCCCACCGCTGTGCTGGGCACGGCAGGGAGGATGCTGCACCTCACATCGGCCCCCGCTGCCACCTCGACCAAGAGCAGGGCCATGTCGCTGTCAGACGCCCTGAAGGGGGTCACGGACAACGTGGTGGACACGGTGGTGCACTACGTGCCGGTGAGTCACACCCGCCAACCCCCCTCCCCTCAGGGCCTGGGCAACGTGCTGACCTCCTGGGGCCCCAGGAATAGAGAGACCTGGTGCCCTGGCCTGAGGCCTTCCCCCACCTCCCTCCTCCTGGTCAGAATGGGGGTCCCTGTGGCCTGGCCCTCACCCCTCAGCTCCCACCTGTGGACCTGGGGTCACCCGGTCAGTCACTCCTACCACGGGGTGTGGCAGGGCTCTTGGCAGCCAGCGGGGCTCCCTTGGGCCAGACCAGAACCAGGCAGTGTGTGGGCCATGCTTAGCCTACAATTCAGGCCCCAGGACGGGTCAGGAAAGCCACTGGCCTCCCACTGAGAGGGCCTGGAGGAGGCCCCAGGGGTCTAGAAACCTTAGGAGGGTCTGCCTTGCCTGGGTGCAGTGCACCGGGGCCCCTGCACCCCATGCCCTGTCCCACCCCCTCCTGGGAGGCGGGGCCTTGGGGGGTGGGTAAGAGGCCCCAGGCGAGACCACACGGGGCCCTGAGGCGGCTGCCTGGTCTCAGCTCCCCAGATTGTCCCTGATCAGGGTCAGCGACAGCTTCTTCCGGCCCAGCCACATGGAGCCCATCCTGGGCCGCGCGCAGTACAACCAGCTGCGCAAGAAGAGCTGAGCGCCCGGCCATCCGCGCCGCCCCGGGAGCCCGCGTCGCCAGCCAGTAAGAACCCCGCATCCGACAGTGTGGACTTCTTCAAAGCAGCCCCTGGCACCGGAGCCCCGCACCCCATCTTTTGAGCATCCTTTGGGGGCTCAGTCTGCAGTCAATTTTTAAGAAAAATCAAATCAAACCTGCTTTGATTCTCTTTGGTTTGGTTTGTCATTCCTCACCTGAGGATATATTTTTCCATTGATTTTTAGGGAGAGTAGAAAAGAGAGAGAAACACCTGGGTTTCCTCCTGCACCTGATGAAGGCGGGGCCCAGGGAGGAGCCTGCAACCAAGGCACGTGCCCTTGACCGGAACGGAACCTGGGACCCTTCGGTCCGCAGGCCGGCGCTCTATCCACTGAGCCACACCGGCCAGGGCCTGTCTGGTTTTTTTACTAAAAGGTGAATTGCCTCACTTGATGTCTCACTCTTTAAGCCAACGTGCAGCCAAAGGACATTAGACTGTTTCTGAGATTTAGATGCCTCCGTTGGAGACAAATATTTGCCACCAAGTGAGTTACATGCCGCGCTACCCTGCAGCTCCAACCGGCAGGAGGCCCGGGCACGGTTTAAGCCCAGAGATTCCTGCCCGTGAGCTGCCCGGGAGGCTGCTGTGAAGGAGTGATCCGGTGTGAAAGCTCTCGCGTGTGTATATGAAATATCAGCATCACTTTGCGCACCTAGTACACGCGTCTCACAGACCGGGTCCTGGCCGCGCGCGCAGCGCCACCTTCTGGCTCCAAAGTCTCCCCTTTGCAGCCTTCCCGCCTGGCCTGCACATGCGCATTCATTCATTCATTCATTCATTCGTTCATCCTGCTGGTCCCCTTTGGACTGCTGGCGCCCTGGTGTGCGGGGACCACAGCGGTGACCCTTCACGTAGAAAGTCTGCACTATTCGCACGTTCCAAGTTCTCGTTTTGAAAATGTTAATATCTGGTAAATCTAAGAAGTGAGCACATATAATTTAAAACTCAAACACTGCAAGGGGGTGCCTGTCTCCCCAACTTGAGGTCCCGGGTTCCCTCTCACAAAGACAGCCTCGGTGCCAGCCCCCCGGTATCCGTCCAGCTGCCGGCTGCGCTAGTGCGGGCACGTGTGTGCGTACTTCCCACGCTTCCTCAGTCGTGAGATGCTGTGCTCGCCTCTGCTCACCTCACGGTTCACCTTAGACATCGTAAGTCCCCCTGGCTCCTTTCAGTGGCCACATAGTAAGTGCCTCATAACGTCATTGATGTAACTGGTTCCCTGACGAAGGGCTTTGAGGTTGTTGCCATTTTTTTTTTGCTACTGCAGACAGTACCGCAATAAATGTCCTTATACAGCATGTCTGTGTACACGTGTGGATGTATCTTTAGGGGGAACTTACCACTTGGAACTGTGACTTGATGGGCGAAAGGGTATCTATGTTGTTATTATTGTTTATATATATATATATATATATATACACACACACACACTGGGGCACAGTGCATGAATTCGTGCACCTTGAAAGGAACTGTGGGCCACGAGGCTGCAGTGGGCCCAGGGGCAGGTCTCGGCCCATCCTCCACACCCCCGCCCAGGCCCTCCCACAGGGGTCCCTGGTCCCCTGTGTGCCAGCAGCCCCACTCCCTCTGCCGCCACTCCCACGTGCTGACGGTGCCATCCTGCTCGCTCCCCTTGACAGAGTGGAGCAATTGGGGCCGGTGCCAGCAGCTGGTGTGAGTGGGGCTGTCGCCGACAGTGGGTGCGAGCCCTGATTGCCCCTCAGGAGCAGGGGGAGGTGGAGAAGACCTCAGGGGTGATTGGGGCCGGCAGCTGCTGCTCACACCCACTGATGGCGCCAAGTGATCGGTACCAGCGCTGGGTACCGGCAGTGGGTGCGAGCATCAGAAAGGACCGCAGTGTGCACAGGAGCAAAGAATTTTCAGTAACTACCAGAGGCTTGCCCCATCACAGCGACTGGCACCCCGCCCTGGTCTGGTGCCCCCACTCACCTGCTGCACTCTCCCGCTGCCACCAAAGCACCACCTTGTTCCCCACATGCCCCCTGGTGGTCAGTGCATGTCATAGCGACTGATTGTTCAGTCTATTTGCATATTAGCCTTTTGTTATATAGGATTTTATTGATTTCAGAGAAGGAGATAGAAACATGAATAATGAGAGAGAATTATTGATTGGCTGCTTCCTGCATGCCCCACACTGGGGACCAAGCCCACAACTGAGGCATGTGCCCTGACTGGGAATCAAACTGTGACCTCTTGGTTCATAGCTTGACGCTCAACCACTGAGCCACGCCGGCTGAGCGAAAGGGTATCTGTTTTAAAATTGTTAGATACTGCTAAGTAGGCTTTCAAACCAGACTGTTCTTATTATTTCCATCTGCAGCTGCACAGATAATTAAGTGCTCGCTCCCTTCCTTCCGGGTGTTTTCTGTCTGAAGGTGATGGCGGAGGAGACATGGAAAGGCCAGGTGCCCTGTCACATGTCCCCGTCTCAGCCTGCCGCCTCCTCTGGTCTCTCTCTTCGCCGAGGTGTCAGGTGACTTAATTCAAGCCACTTCATGTAGTGACTTCTGCTCCTTGAGGCTGAGGGTTGCCTTATGCAGATACAGCCAGAGTCTTGGCAAGTTTGACAGCCTCTCTTTAGAAATCGCCTGTATCCAAAATGAATTAAATGTTGCTACTAATCAGAGCTCAGTTTTTATTCTGACTTTTTAAAAAAATGTTTTTATTGATATCAGAGAGGAAGGGCGAAGGAGAGAGAGATAGGAACATCAATGATGGAGAGAATCTGGGGATCGAGCCCACAACCCGGGCCTGTGCCCTGACCTGGAATTGAACCATGTATGGGAGAGTTTTTAATAACGGGGATGGAGGGATAGTCAGCTATCTTTTTTTTTTTTTTTTTTTTTTGGCCTGTGTTACAGGGGCAGGAGGAGACCAGCCAGGAGGCTCTGCACCCACCCAGGCCAGAGACATGGGGCGAGGGTGCGAGGCTGTGGGGTTTGCAAAGACACTTGCCTGGACTGGAAGCTACTGTGGGAGGCAAATCAGGACTTGGTGGTGCATGTGAGAAGAATGTCTAGAGCAGTGGTTCTCAACTTTGGCTGCACATTAGAATCACCTGGGAATCTTTTTAAAATCCTGATTTCTGGGCCTCTTCCTCCGGAAATTCTGTTTCTTTGTTATGGGGTGGGGCCACAACATTAGTAACAGAGAAACAATTTCCGGAGGATGAGGCCTAGAGATCAGGATTTTAAAAAGATCCCCAGGTGATTCTAATGTGCAGCCAAGGTTGAGAACCACTGGTCTAGGATGTGACGGGGTGGGAGGGAGCACCTGGATAGCTCCTGCCCAGGCAGGTGTGGGATGAGCTCCTCTGAAAGGCTCCCACGGACCTTTTCCCACAGAACAGCCTGGGTAGGTGGGTGGGCTAAGATCTCTATAGCAACCCTCACCCCCAGTGGCCTCTCCTGGAGGCAGTGGTCCCCCCAAGAAGTCGAAGCTGCTGGCAGTGGAATCTACCAGTGGACCCATGGATCCCATGCCCCTT